TTCACTGGAGTAACATATGTGAAAGAAAGGAGGAGGAGGCAGGATGAAGGAAGCAGTCAGTCACACTGTGACAAAGCTGCAACCAGCCCAGCTCCAGAGGAACCGCTACCAGGTAGATGAGTCCTTCATTTGGTCCGGCTTCGGAAAAACCAGAGGCTAGAACAGTAATAGTTGGAGAGGAACAGCAGATTCTTTCATGAAGGGAAAATCTCAGCGGCACATCTGTCTTTGTCTGCCACGCTGTTCCTCCCAGCTCCGTAGTCGTGGACACAGAGAGGGCCTTTAGTTATTCAACATACATTTACAGCGCACCTCTGTCATACCAGATGCTAGTGCAACAAAGACAAATGAAATATTTTCAATAAGTTCTTTTGCTCACAGGCGGCATAATTTCTGCGGAGATAGGATAGGAGCTCACCGTTCAGTGGCAGAAGAGCCAGCATGCCTTGTGGGATATCTTCTTAATTCCATGAACTACTCATCATATTATAAAGTAAAAGGTACAGGCCGGGGATGTAGCTCAGTGCTGCTGTGCCTGCCTAGCAAGCACAAGCAGCCAGCATGCCCTGTGGGATATCTTCTTAATTCCATGAACTACTCATCATATTACAAAGTAAAAGGTACAGGCCGGGGATGTAGCTCAGTGCTGCTGTGCCTGCCTAGCAAGCACAAGATCCTGAGTTTGATCCCCAGTACCGCAAAAAAAAAAAAAATTGGAAAGGGCTGGGGATGCGGTTCAGTGGTTAAAAAGTGTAACACCTAGTGCATTCCTATGTAATCCCAGTATTTGGGAGGCTGAGGCAGGAAGGTTGTAAATATGAGGCCAGCGTGAGCTACATAGTAAGTTCAAGGCAAGATTGAGCTACATAGCAAAAAAGAAAATAAAAAGGGCTGTAGTGTCTCAAAATATGAAATAAAAAGGGCAGGGGATGTAGCTTAGTGGTAAGTTCCTGGCTTCAATCCCAAGTACTAAAAAAAAAAAACAAAACAAAACACTGATTTTACTGTCAATCTAATTATCTTACTATAAAGCTTCAGGCTAATTTAAGAACGACATTGATGTAAATTTATTTACATTTTAAAAGGGAAAGTTTTTCAACCCGAAGCATTCTAGAATTTGGCAGAGTAGGTGGGGGCTTTTGGTTTTTTGGTTCTGGTGCTGAGGATGAAGCCCAGAGCTACACATATGCTAAGCACATCCTCTTCCACAGAGCTACATTCCAGCACTAAGAAGGTGTTTTATTTTTGTCTTTGTTTTTTGTTTGTTTGTTTTTTTGAGACAGGGTCTCACTATGTAGTTGAGACTAACCTGGAACTCACTCTGTAGCCCAGACTGGTCTCAAACTCATAGCGATCCTCCTGCCTCAGCCTCCCGAGTGCTGGGATTACAGGCGTGCACCACTGCACCCAGCGCTAAGAAGGTGTTTTTGAGGAGCGGGATCAGTACTCTTGCCAGCCACCAGTGCTGTTGCTTTCTCCCCCTTCAGAGACACCCTTTCTTCCTAGAAGGCAGAAATAAAGTATGTGCAATTAGCTTTACTGTTTCACCTTGTTGCTTCTCCTCAGTTTTTTTTTTTTTTTTCGGTATTGGGGATTGAACTCAGAATCTTGCACTTGCAAGGCAGGCAGCAGAACCTCTGAGCTAAGTCCCCAATCCCTCAGTTTTATTTTTAATTTGCAGTTCTGGTGATTGAACCCAGGGCCTCATGCATGTTAGGTAAGCTCTGCATCACTGAGCTACATCTCCCAGCACTTCAATTTTTTTTTTCTTGCTGGGAGGGGTTGAGACAGGGTCTCACCATGTAGCCCATGCCAGTCTTAAGCTTGCTGTGTACCCCAGGATGGTCTCAAACTTATGACCCTTCTGCCTCAGCCTCCTGAGTAGCTGGGATTACAGCTGAGAAGTGCTCAGCTTCTCCCAACTTGTGAAAACAAAATTCACAAGAATATTGGAAGGGCTAACTCTGGGCTCGTGGGCTTGTGGCAGCTGACCCTTGGGTCCCTTATGAAGTGACGCAGGCCTCGAGGGTTTGATAGACAAGGCTGCTCATTCAGGGACCCAGCTCCCCACTGTGGGAGAACTGTCTGTTTAGAGTGGAACAGGAAGGATTCCCAGAGAGGGATATCACTAGGGAGGTTTCACCAAGGGAACAAGACTGCTGGGAGTACAGCCCACAGTACACTATTAGAATGGGGAAGAGAGAGGTGTGGCCAATACCTGTGACCCCTTTCCTCCTGGCCTCCATTTATTTATTTGTTTGCTTGTTTATTTTGAGACAGTGTCTCACTATGTAGTTGAGACTGATCTGGAACTCACTATGTAGTCCCTGCTGGTCTCGAACTCACAGAGATCCTCCTGCCTCAGCCTCCCGAGTGCTGGAATTACAGGAGTGCGCCACCATACCTATGTGGGAGGGGGAAGGGATGAAAAAAAGAATTGATGTATTATATCCATGTATCAATGCCCCATGAGGAATGTAATACTTAATAAAAAATGTTTTAAATGTATCCCCAAATAAAACTCTCAGACAATGGCTGGCTGAGGCTGGGTAGGCATATGGATGCTGGGAAAAGCCCACCTGGTGCAGATTTTCACAGTGACTTTTTGTTTTTTTAAACAGGAGCTTATTCAAGGCTGGCCTTGAACTCAAGGTGATCCTCCTGCCTCAGCCTCCCAAACGCTATGACACCCACCAGCTTCAGTGACCTTTTAAAGGAAAGTGGGAAGGGCTTGCCTCAGAAACCTCTGAGACAACCTCTGAGCAGACAGCAGTGTGCTCTGGCACTTAACCATCCATGAGAAAGGGCCTCTTTAGCTGGTCTGTCACCCATCAGAGAGCGCAAGACACTTAGGGCTGTATCCCATTGACCCAGGTATCCTCAATACCTAGTGGCATTCAATAAGCAAAGAAGAAAGACCTGTGTTGGGGGCTTGTGTTCATTGCATGGGACATGGTTCCTGGAGTGGAATCTGAGAAAAGGCGAACCCAGCCCAGGAGGCCCAGCAGGACTGGATCTTAATAAGGAAGTGTATATGGGTGTGTGGAGTAAAAAGGAGATAAGAGGGCAAAAGAAAGCAAGAGCACAGGAAACATGAGAGGGAATGGCTTTCCAGGGAGTATTCCAGAAGACTCCAGGGACAGGGCAAGGCCACCTTTGAAGACACTGCCAGTTTGGATACGCTGGCAAGGATATACTCCTCTAGGTGAATATTTGTGTAACTTATCATCATGATTTAGAATTCTTTTAAAGTCTGATAAATTCCAGGAATATGCTTGGTGGGAACATTCTGTTTATTTGATAGTGGCTGCTCAAGGCAGGACACACTTGCTCTTTATTTTTTTTCTGAAAAAAGTAAGAGTTATCTAAGATAACTTATAAGTTATCCATGATCTAGATAACTGTTGGATACGGCAGTCTCCAGCCATCTGTGGCTACTAAACACTTGAAATGTGGCTAGTGCAGATGAAGATTTTCTGGAAGTGCAAAACACACACCCAGGTTTAGTACAAAGAAAAGAATGTAAAAAGCCGAGCGTGGTGGCACATCCTGTAATCCCAGCGCTTGGAGGAGGATTACCAAGACTTCAAGGCCAGCCAGCCTGGGGCTACATAGCGAGTTCAAGGCCAGCCTGCACGACAAAGTGAGATATGGCTGTCTCAAGAAACAAAGAACAAACAAACAAAAAAAGGAAGAATGTAAAATATTTCATTCATAATTTCTTATCTTGGTCACAGGTTAAAGTAATAGTATTTTTAATATATTGAGTTCAGTAAAATGTGTCATTGAGCTAATGATGTTAATTTTAATATTAACATTATTTAAAATTTTTCTTTAAAAATGTAGACACTAGAAATTTTAATGTTTTAAGTTTTTATTAACATGCAAGAAAAATTTACTCTTTCTGGTGGATAGTCTTTTGAATTTTGACAAAGGCATGAAATCGAGGCAGGAGATTAGGGTGTCGTGAGCTCGTTGGACAGGTGGGCATGACCTGTCGATCACAGAGATCCAGAATACATTTGCCTAAACCCTGCACCTGGGACCAATCAGAAAATGCTATTTTCACTGGATGTGGCGGAGCTCACCTGTAATCCCAGAACTGGGGAGGATGAGGCAGGAGAATCACTGTGAGTCTAAGGCTAGAACTACATAGGGAGACCCTGTCTCCAAAAAAATAAAGAGAGAGAGAGAGAGAGAGAGAGAAAAGAAAAATACTATCTTCAGCTCTTCTGGCACAAAATCAAGCAGGTTCTGGATAGGATGGTCCAGAAGGATAAAAAGACTATGGCGGTTAATCTTGTGGCCACTGTGTTCTCTCTCAGTCGCTCCCTCTGTACCCTGCAGGGCATACTTCTTTTCTTTCTCTTCATTGACCTGCACTCACACTGCAGAGCAAATTTCTTCTCCCACCTCTAATAAACATAAAACCATGCTACCTCACTTCCTGTACAATTCCTTGTTTAGTACAAGAAAAACCAAGAATTTCTAGAAAAGAAGCCTGTAGCACCCCAGGACCCACTACCAGTTTTGGTGAACCCAGCCAGGAGATGAGGCCCTTTGGGCTCTGTTTTATTTCTCTTTCTCTCAAGTCAACGGACTCAAGCTGAGAAGGAGCACACTGGTTATATATATTTTTTTTTCTTTCTTTCTCTCTCTCTCCTAGGAAAGCCCCAAGTCCCTTCTGTCCCACTCAGACTTTTATCTGTCAGAAAACTGAACTCTTTTAACTTTTTTTTTTCCTTTCTGATATTAGTTATCAGGGAGAGACAGGGAAGTAGAGGGTGGGAAAGTTAGTAGAAGCTGGTGTAAAGAAAGTTAAAATTTAAGGTGGAAAGGCTTGGGTTAAGGCTTTGGACTCTCCAAGGCGCGTGACCTAAATTTGTTCACCTCTTCTCCCTCTGGGCGCCTGGCCAGTTCCCTGGGGAAGAACAGGGAGGATTAATCAGGGAGAGACGGGAAAGTAGAGGGTGGGAAAAGTTAGTAGAAGCTGCTGTAAAGAAAGTTAAAATTTAGGTTGGAAAGGCTTGGGTTAAGGCTTTGGGCTCTCCAAGGCGCGTGACCTAAATTTGTTCACCTCTTCTCCCTCTGGGCGCCTGGCCAGTTCCCTGGGGAAGAACAGGGAGGATTTTGTTAGAAGACCAGATGTTCTTAACATCGAGATAAGGAATGTGATGCGTTCCGCCCCTCCGGGACCCCTGGCCAGGGCCCGGTTGGGACGTGACTGCAAGCACGTTCAGCCTGTTTCGCGCCAAAAGTACAGGTAGTTTTACTACCTTTGTCTGGAGAGCTATATAAACAGCCCGCCGAGCCCAGGCTGCTGCCGCAGTCTCACGCCCGGGACTGAGCCGTGTAGCCGGAGGGACTGCTGAAAAGACCCGGGCTGTGTTGAGAGCGATGGACTCGATCCCTCCACCGTTCCCGCGTTGTTGGCAGAGGGCCTAAGGGTGATTTCCCGGGTAGAGTCCCTCTTGCGGTCAGAGGGCTCCCCTTTTCTTTGTCTCCTCGATTCTTACTTTCGTTTTCTGTACGTGTATATCCTTCAAGAAATCTTCTCTGTTGTACTTCTTTAAGGCTGGTGGACGTTCTTTTAGCGGATCGAGCCAAGTTAATTAAGAGACCGTGCACAGCAAAGGGCAATAAATAAAATTTGTCCTAACAAATCGGCGTAGTGGGCAGGATCCGCTGAGACAACGCAGCCATGCCTTTCTTTCGTAAGAAAACTAAAATCGCTTGTGTTCCTTGTGATATTCCTGGGTGGGAAGACCCGCAGTTTGCCTCCTTAGCCAGACAATGGGCTATGGGAACAGGTTTGAGCGAAAATTGGAGTGGCAAACTGCAGCAGGCAAATCCCCTGCAAGTTGTTGAAGTGTTGGGAACTGTTCCGGTAGAAAAAGGAGCAGAACTGACAGCTATCTCCCGCCGAGGATGGATTTTGTTGTCTGCTTATCGATGTATGTGTCAGAAAGTAGAAACTTTAATACAGGAAAAACTTACTTTAGAAAAAGAAAATGCAGAATTACAAAGTAAATTGGCTATGTTACAGTGTCAAAATTTTATATTGCGGAACCAAGCTCGTGGATACCAGTCTGTAGCGGAGAAGGCTGCAGTCCGCTGCGCCCGATATAAATATAAGAAAAGGCGCGGACGAGTGAACTCCCGAAAAGTACGTGCTGTTATTGCTACGGCTGGAGTAAACTGGGATCCTGATACCTGGGATGGAGATATTTGGGATGATACTGATGATGATGAAGTCAATTGGGATGATTTAGAGGAGGAGGCACACAAATATGATCAAGAAAACTATCCCCCACGAGTACAATCTGGTCCGCTACAAGCTAAACCCCTTCCGCGGCGACAAGAAAAGGTCAGGGGAGATCAAAGAGAATATACTATGATTACTGAAGATTTTTCCCAGCAAGAAATTACTGATATTTTAACTAAATTCTCCCAAAAGCCCGGAGAGTCTTTGTTAAGTTGGATGACTAGAATAACTGACACTGGAGGTGGAGGAATTAGTGTGGATCATGTAGATGCTCATAGCACCTTGAATTCTGCTGATCGTAAGTACAACGCCGAAGCTGATCGATTAGCTACTATTGCTGAAGTGAATCTCCCTCCTCCCTTGGAAGGATTGGCAAAATGGGTTCATACCAAAACAGGACATGCAGGAACTCACGTTATGTACAGGTGGGAACAAGACCGAGGGCTATCCACACCTTTGTCTGAATTAAGACAAGTAGGAGAGCAATGTCCTACATGTCAATTAGATAGGAAGCGAGCACTTCCTCACATAATAACTGGAGAATTACATAGAGGACAGGCTCCTGCACAAATCTGGCAAATTGATTATATAGGTCCTCTTCCACAATCAAGGGGATGTCAATACATTTGTGCTTGTGTGGATACTTATTCGGGAGTGCTAGTCGCCTGTGCATACTGTAGAGCTGTTCAAAAGAACACTATTAAGACTTTAGAGATAATTGCATTATATTATGGAATGCCAATGCAAATTCAAAGTGATAATGGATCCCATTTTAAAGGAAAAGAAATACAAGATTATGCTGAACAAAACAATATTGAATGGATCTATCATATACCTTATTATTGTCCACAAGCTGCAGGCTTAATAGAAAGAATGAATGGTTTGCTAAAAGAAAAACTTAGAAAACTAGGTAATAATTCTTATAATAATTGGAAAGATAATTTATTTGAAGCCTTGCAGCAATTAAATAACAGGCCCATAGGACCGGGGCTTACTCCATTAATGAGAATGATGACTCCTAATTCACAGATAAGGAAAATTTACACCTTTCAAGAAATACAATGGTGGAAAATAGATGATAGAGCACTTATGCCTTTTAGAGCCACCATTGGATCTGCTGGTCATGATTTACATGCTTTAGAGGAAATATGGATAGATCCCCAAAATATATTAAAATGTCGGACAGGGATAGGAATAAAAATTCCACAAGGATATTATGGACAGATTGCTCCCCGTTCTAGTTTGGCTGAAAAGGGGATCCAAATTTTGGCTGGAATAATTGATTCTGATTACAGGGGAGAAATTAAGATAATTCTTTCTAATATAGGAAAAGAAACTTTACATTTTGTTCCTGGAACTCAAATCGCTCAATTGCTAATCATTCCTTGTGCAACTGCCAAAGAATGGACTTTGTTAGATAAACTTCCAGACTGGGAGGTTTTGGATCAACTAATTTGATCCCTGGAGCTAAAGTTTGGCTCAAGAGACATGATGGAGATAAACCACAGCCTGCAGAAGTCATTGCTCAAGGAGATAATAATGCAGTTATTATTATGCTTCCAGATCAAGAACATTGTTTAACTGTCCCCACTAACCAACTTTTTCTATGAAATTAGCTTTTCAGATTGCTTTGCTTCTCAGGATTGATGATTACTGTGCTTATCTGGACTCCAGGACTTCAACTTCAACGGAAGGGCACACCTAATACTATAGTTCAATGGCAATTCAGATGGAAAAATTCCAACAGAGATCGCCAACAAGATTCCTATGTTTGTCCTGCTAATAAGTCCTGCTACATGGTGAATTTTACTGCTGAATCCGGTGATACTATCACAATGGGAACTCACTCCAAATATAGACTTGTTTTATTTGGTTCTTCTCCTCTTACTATAACCATTAGTTCTCTTGTGAATATTACTTGCTGTTTTGTAAATATTTCTGCTAGCTCTATCCAACAAAAGAATTGGCAAAGTACTGCAGATGCAGAAAAATATTGCATTAGTAATCATAGTGAAGAGAAATATACAGAACATATGATGATTAATGTTACTCAGTTTATTGTGTGCACAAATGTTACTCCAATTACAAATAGAATTACATGGGCAGATTTGATATGGGTATCAGTTAGTCACCCTCTTACTAAAATTCCTCAAATAGTGCAGATTCCTCGAACTTGTACAAATACCTCCATCCTAGCTTCTAAAAGAATAATTCATTTTAATTTAACTTTTCCTCCTTTACCTGACTGCCACCGAACCAAACATGTGTGGTATGATACTTTATTAGGAGGATTAGGATCTGGGTTTGGAATAGCTAATTCAATAGATTTGGAAGTTTTGGCTCATAGATTAAAGAATACTGGAAGAGATATAGGAGAAGCCAGGACTATTAATGCTCGATGGTTACCCACTACCATCTTACCTCATGAGACTCCTTTAAATTATCAAAAATATATGTTACAGATATTTAATGACACCATTATAAAACAATATAAGTTAAACACTAACACATCTGCCTTATTCAATTGGACCATCTGTTCCCTGCAGAATTTATATGTTTTGATACAAAAAGAAAATGCTCAAAGAATATTTACTCAAGGGAATCCTCGAGTTTGGCGTTCATTATTTAGTTTACCTGAAACAGTTTGGGTGATGACCGATGTTTCTTTGGCAAATTGTACTAATTTATGGTGTGTAGGTATCATTATGTATTATACTCCCATACAAACTAAGATTTTGTGTGCTTTCCATACCCTGCCTATAATAATAGAAGATCACTTGTTACATCCTCAAATAGAAGGTACTCATATAGATAATGATAATGTTACTTATAAATTAGAAGAATGTGTTCCTATAGATAGAGGTCCCATATGTAATGGTTTAACCCGAATAGTAGAGCCATGTTTATTATCTCTTTCCACTAATGTCTGTCTTCTTACTGTGTATCCTATTGCTAATTATTCTATTTTATGTGGGGTGGAAACCCAACACATATGTTTAACAGGCACCAATGAATCAGAACTCTCCAACATGGGACTGCCCTCCCCTTTCTCAGGATGTCTGCAGCATCTTGAGTTGCTCCATTGGAACGGTGCTGTTTATTATTTGTTGCCCGATCTAATGGATGATGTTACTCTTCAGTGGATACCAAAATACCTTAGGCCACCTCAAATATATTTAGATCTTTCTTTATCTGAAATACTTCGTAATTCTGCTGAGTTAAAAGCCCACCTACAAAAGAATGAAAAGGCTTTAGAAGAACATAGAATAGCTACCACAACTGTTAAAAATAAATTACTAGATATACGAAATGCAGTTATACAGGATGCCAATCATAGGTGGTGGGATTTTCTGTTCACTAGTTCTACTGCTCAACAATATTTTTCTGTGATATTTACTCCTGTGTTAATGATTATTTTGGCTTTGATAATTCCTTATATCTGTAATGGTTGGATGTATCAAAAGATGAAAAATTATATCAGTCATTTGTATTTCAAAAACTTCATGTTAACTACGCCTATGCCTCAACCCAACCCTAGGACCGAATGTAAAGAAAGTTAAAATTTAGATTGGAAAGGCTTGGGTTAAGGCTTTGGGCTCTCCAAGCCGCGTGACCTAAATTTGTTCTAGGGCGCCTGGCCAGTTCCCTGGGTAAGAACAGGGAGGATTTTGTTAGAAGACCAGATGTTCTTAACATCGAGATAAGGAATGTGATGCGTTCCGCCCCTCCGGGACCCCTGGCCAGGGCCCGGTTGGGACGTGACTGCAAGCACGTTCAGCCTGTTTCGCGCCAAAAGTACAGGTAGTTTTACTACCTTTGTCTGGAGAGCTATATAAACAGCCCGCCGAGCCCAGGCTGCTGCCGCAGTCTCACGCCCGGGACTGAGCCGTGTAGCCGGAGGGACTGCTGAAAAGACCCGGGCTGTGTTGAGAGCGATGGACTCGATCCCTCCACCGTTCCCGCGTTGTTGGCAGAGGGCCTAAGGGTGATTTCCCGGGTAGAGTCCCTCTTGCGGTCAGAGGGCTCCCCTTTTCTTTGTCTCCTCGATTCTTACTTTCGTTTTCTGTACGTGTATATCCTTCAAGAAATCTTCTCTGTTGTACTTCTTTAAGGCTGGTGGACGTTCTTTTAGCGGATCGAGCCAAGTTAATTAAGAGACCGTGCACGGCAAAGGGCAATAAATAAAATTTGTCCTAACAGCTGGGAACACAGGAAGTTTTCTCATGTTTTTGGGCTAGTTCCCTAGTGTGTCCTACCATTTGGGAGAGGAGAGGGGAAGCACGTGGCCTCTGTGTTTTCCCAGCTGGTTTCATTCACTGAGTATGGGTACAAGTCAGTTGGGGCTGCCAGGGCATTTGCCCCTGGCCCAGATGTGGAACAGACTAGTCTTGACTCCTCTGGGCCCAAGAGGACTTTTGCAGACCATAGAGGTTCCATATGTATGACCTAGAATTTAGTATGCCTTTTGCCCACATGTTTTTGTTCTCAGGCTTTTCACTTAATAAAAAAACCAAAAACTATTAGTAACTGGTTTACCTATTGGTAATAGGTTTCCTGCTTGAGTAGCTGCCTACCCGTCTACCCTTTTTTGTGCTCAAAGTCTCATCTTCACTTTTCTCCTATGTGACCTTTTTTCTTTGGGTATCCTTATGAGTCACTTTCTTTTGTTTTGTTTTGTTTTGTTTTGGTACCAGGGATTGAACTCAGGTCCTTGCACTTGCAAGGCAGGCAGCAGAACCACTGAGCTAAATCCCTGACCCCATGAGTCACTTTCTTAAGGCCTTGTGTGTTAAGACCTTAAGGAGCCATCCCAGTCCACCTTTCTGCCATGTTTAGCAGCTATTTTGGTTCATTCTCTGGGTCACCCTCATGGTTCTCTCATGTTTGGCAGCCATTTTGTTTCATCATGCATGTCAGTCACATGTTTCAGTTATGTTTGTTTCCCATTTGCTTTTTCAGGTGACCTCATGGACACCAAGAAATCTCACTCTTACAAATAAGAGCTAAAGCCTCTCCTTTCAGGAAACATATGGTCCCCTTCCCCTCTTCTTTTCTAAATCAGGTTAGATCCTCTCCCTATTTTTTCTAACAGAAATTCAGTTAATTTAGGTGCCAGGGGCCAGCCAGTGAAGGTCAACTCCAACTAGCTGCAAGTATGCAATAGAGAGCTGGGTGTGATGGCACGTGCCTGTGATCCCAGCACTCAGGAGGCTGAGACAGGAGAATTGCCATGAGTTTGAGACCAGCCTGGATTACATAGTGATCAAAGCAGCCTCAACTACATAGCAAGACCCTGCCTCAAAGAAAAAGGCGAGCTGGAGTCAATAGATAACAAGCCCCATCCTTCTACTTAGAAGATTCTAAGCACCTCCCCACTTAAATGTTGAAAAAGAGCTTTCTATCTCTATTGCCTTAAACAAAGTATTACCAAAGTTTTTATTATTGGGAGAAGTGTGAGGGTTACTGTTTCTCAAGTGACTAGTCTTTATTTATTTTGGGGTTTTTTGTTTTGTTTTGTCTTTTGAGACAGGGTCTCACTATGTAGTTGAGGCTGACCTGGAATTCACTATGTAGCCCAGGCTGGTCTCGAACTCACAGCGATCCTCCTGCCTCAACCTCCCGAGTGCTGGGATTACAGCCATGCACCACCACGCCTGGCACCATCCTGGTCTTTAAAGAGTTCTTATGGGTCACAGGCTATTGAGGTTCTAAGGAAAGTCTCCAGTGCCACTTTACCAAAGATATCTGGTAGAGCAATTGAGTCTCCTGGAGAATGCTTTTAGTCTGCACTCTATTGTGGGGGATGTCCTCTGAAGGACCCCAAACATATCCCCCCCCTCTTTCTCTCTTTGTCCATAGACCCCACACAGGTAGCTAGTTGGAGCCCTAGGGTCTCCATCATTGTCTTTAACAATTTATCTTCTACTGAAATATTCTTTGTGTCCAGTATAAACTAAGAAATGTAGAGAGAAGTATATAGAATGGTCTAAACTACAATACTACTCTGCAGTTAGATCTTTTCTGCAAAAGGCAAGGAAAGTTGTGTGGAATCTCTTATGTTCAATCTTTTATGGCTCTTTTAAAAAGCCCAAGAAATATGGTACTTAAGGAAGCTTCTAAGAAAGAGGACATTGATCATTCACGATCCCATCCTCAGGTGCGGTGCCCATCTGTCTCTCAGAGGTTTATGGGTCTCCGCCACCTGTTCAAAAGAAAAATAACGCTGGGAGATTTCCTCAAACTTCTCTTTATAATCCTTAGACCAGTAAATCAGTACCATCCTCTTCAAATGACTTAGAGACTCCACCTGAGACTAGTTCCCCAAAGAGACCCAATATTCCCTAGCCCCTTCCCCACGATCCTCAGACAGCTTTTAGCCCTGTAGGACAACTTATTCTGCTCCTTGAAGAGGCTCCAGGAGTAGAGGGGATTTCTGGAGTCCAGGTTCCTTTTTCAGCAGCAGATACCCAACAATGCAGAGAATGGTTAGGAAGATCCTGGTAGGTTTGCAGATGGGTTTTAGACTCTGACCCTTGCTTTTTACCCATCATGGTAAGATGTCCAATTTGTCTTGGCCACTTGCTGTACCCCAGGCCCTTATGACCCAACTGCTGGGCACAGACTTCTGTGTTCAACAATTGGGATCCAGAGGAGGATGAAAGGAGAACGGCCAAGAAAAAAGACAGAGTAAGATACTGTGGAAATCCAGAAGATAGTAAGTACTTCAAAAATTATACTGCAACAAAATAGCAAATTTTGAAGAAGTGGACAGATTCCTAGACATATACAAACTACCAAAACTAACCCATGAAGACATAAATATGCTTAACAATCCAATAACAAGCAATGATATTGACATAGTAATCTACCAACTGAAAAAAGCCTAGGACCTATTGGATTCACTGCTGAATTCTACAAAATCTTTAAAGGTGTTATATCACCGATACTCCTCAAAGTCTTCAAACAAATTGAAAGGGATGGAATACTTCCAAACTCATTTATAGAGCCAATATCTCATGATCCCAAAACGGGATAAAGACCCAACTAAAAAAGAAAACTATAGGCCAATCTCCTTAATGAACATAGATGCAAAAATCCTCAACAAGATATTAGTAAAGAGAAACAGCACATTACCAAAAAGATCAGACATCATGGTGAAGTAGGTTTCATCCCCGAGATGCAAGGATGGTTCAACATATGTAAGTCAATAAGTGTAATACAGGCTGGACGTGGTGGTGCACACCTGTAATCCCAGCACTCAGGAGGCTGAGGCAGGAAGATAGCTATGAGTTCAAGACCAGCCTGGGCTACATAGCGAGTTCCAGGTCAGCCTCAACTACATAGTGAGACCCTGTCTCAAAAAAACAAACAAAAAAAAGCCCACAAGTAATACAGGGCTGGGATTTAGCTCAGTGGCACCAACACACCTGCCTCCCAAGTGCAAGGTCCTAAGTTTGATCCCTAGTATTGGGGGGGGTGATACATCAGAAGCAATGCCAGAAACTATATAATCACATCAATAGATGTAGAAAAGGCATTTTTATGTGTATTTTTTGTTTTTTTTTGAGACAGGGTCTGGCTATTCCATCCAGGCTGGCTTTGAACTCACTATGTATGTAGCCCAGGGTAGCCTCAAACTAGCAACAATCCTCCTACCCCATTCTTCCAAGTGCTGAGATTACAGGTGTGTGCCACCATGCCCGGCCAGAAAAGGCTTTTGAAAAAATCCAACACTCCTTCATGACAACCCTGGAGAAAACAAGTACTGAAAGACCCTAACTGAACATGATGAAACCTGTGTAAGACAAGCCAAAGGCCAGCATCGTACTAAATAGGTAAAAACTAGGGCTGAGGATTTAGCTTAGTGGTTCCACCAACTTCCTTGCAAGTGCAAAGACTGGAATTCAATCCCTGGTACCATAAATAAATAAATAAATAAATAAATAGGGAAAAACTAAAAACACCCCCCTTAAAATCAGGACAAAACAAAGATGTCCACTATCACCTCTTCTATTTAGCACAGTACTTGAAACATTAGCCAGAGCAATTAGGCAAGAGAAAGAAATAAAATGGATACATATAGGAAAGGTAGAACTCACATTACCATTATTTGCAGGTGACATGATACTTTACACAGAAGACCCAAAGGACTCCATCAAAAAACTCTTAGAAGGGCCAGGGATTTAGCTTAGTGGCACCACATCTGCCTTGCAGGTGCAAGGTCCTGAGCTTGATTCCCAGTACTGGAAAAATAAAAGAACACTTAGAATAGGGCCGGGGATTTAGCTCAGTGGTGCTGCCACTCATCTTGCAAGCACAAGGTCCTGAGTTTGAGCCCCAGCACCAAAAAAAAAAAAAATTAATAACCAATATTAGCAATGTAGCAGGATACAATATCAACACACAAAGATCATTAGCATTAGTGTATACTAACAGTGTATGAGATGAGAAAGAAAGCATGAAAATAATGCTATTCACAGTAGATTTAAGAAAAATGAAATACCTAGGAAGTAACCAAAAAAGTGAAAGACTTATACAAGAAAACTACAGTATTCTGAAAAAGGAGATTGAAGAGGACATCAGGAAATGGAAAGATGCTCCTGTGGCTGGATAGGTAAAATTAATATTATCAAAATGGCCATCCTCCCAAAACTGTTACACAGATTCAATATAGTCCCAATCAAAACACCAAAGCATAACTTACAAGTCTAGAAAAAAGCAACTCTAAAATGCATATGGAACCAGAAGAAATCCAGAATTTTGGGTAACAAGAACAAAGGAGGAGTCAGAGCAATACCTGATTTCAAACTATACTACAAAGCAACAGTGATCAAAACAGCATGGCACTGGACCAAATACATATGTGGATCAATGGAACAGAATTAAGGATACAAAACTTCCCTAGACATTCAGCTATTTGATCTTCGACTAAAGGGTCAAAAGTATATGTGGGAGGAAGAATAACCTATTCAATGAGTGGTGCTGGGAAAAATGATTATCTGTATGTACATTGAAACTGGACCCTTTTTTTTCACCATATACTAAATTAAAATCAAAATGGGTCAAAGATCTAAACATTAAAACAGAAACATTAAACCTTCTGGAAAACAAAATAGATAAAACACTTGAAGGCATAGGTGTAGGAAAGGATTTTCTAAACAGAACCTCAATTGCACAAGAAATAGCAGCAAGTATTGGAGGGTGAGC